GCGAGGGTAGACGTCATTTTCAATCCTTCTGTCAGACTTTGTCACAACTTCTGCCGTTACATAGAGGCCTAGCATTCAGTGATAGAAATCAGGGTTGTTGTCCCTCGGGATGGGGTTCCCTTTTGCTGTCACCAATGCAGCGCCTCGAGTCTTCCATGAAGATAAAAGAAGGTATGCTATCAAAACAGAAAGTGCATTGCCGGCGTACAGTGGGGCTGGGGACTACTGGCATTGGCCCGAGGTCATGCTGTCGGGTGAAAGTACAGTAGTCGTGTCCTTCGAGGCAGCGTTAACAAAACGAATCATTAAACAAACAACCGAAGTATTACGCAATAGCAAAAATGATGAGGTTGGAATTAATTTTAACATGGAAACTATCAGTCGATTCCAAAATGCAGGGCTAGTTCAAGAGTGACACACTTGTGTTCATTCTCTTCACAATGGCATTCATGCGTTTTGTAGAATTGGGAAATAGAGAGCCTCATGATTGCGCTATTTCGAGTGCCTTCATTCAGTTTATTAAAATTCGACAGTTTTTGGTCTAACATATTCTCTGCGAAATTTGAACCGCTTCACCAATTTGAACCCATACTACCAAAATAAACCAAACTCAAATAAACCACCTTCTTTGTGGTAAATATGATTGCCATAGCAATCACCCGCCAGTTGAGATAGCAAGATAATTTTTGAATGTTTGGATGAATGCTGAATGTGATTCAAGTACCGAAGTGCTGACAACTGAAGGACGTCTCCTTACTTCGGTGGCCCACCTTCTCATCTCAAGTGGGAGGGGAAGGTTGTCCCAAAAGTTCTCCAATTCTTCACACTACCGTCTCCACGGTAGAATGACGGATACGCATGTTTAAAATGAGTTAAATTAGTTAAAAATTCTTGTAGGCAGCTTCTTAAATCATCTTGAAATCCGATTGCGGTCATATCAGACTCATCATGAAGGTTAACCGAGACGAAGGGGTTAAATGAAGCACAACAAGACTTGGAAAATAATAGAACTCAATTTCAATTGGCAAAATTAATGGTTCCAAATTCAACAAGCTAGTTCTAACGTTAATTTTGACATACAACGAAGACATTTTGACTTCTGTGTTTAGCAAGGCACTGGCTATGAGAAATTTGGACAGCCAGAAAGTTCTTAAAATAAAAACATCATCCAAAGTAGAATGAGCTGACATCGTATGCCTTGATAGCTTGTTCAACTCTTCGCCTGGTTTCGCAGGCACTTAGGGCTCCGCCTTTGTATTTCTGTTGGACCATGCCAGTAGTACCCCTCAGTCCCTATTTACGTCGGCAATGCATATTCTGCCAGAGCATTATGTCTTCCTTCAATTTCAGAGAAGTCTCAGGGCGCAACATTGGCGACGGTGACATACAAAAGCAACCCTAAAGGTCAACCACCCTGATTTGTACTACTGGATGCTAAACCTGAATGTGACAGAAGAAGGGCATATGCTGCAGATGGGAAAATCTGTGAAAAAGTCTGACAGAAGGATTGAAAATTACGTCTACCCTCGG